AATGTCTTTGGGCCGAAGGCCATTCAGCCATGAAGATTCCCAAAATTTTGCCTTATTACCATCACCCGGTGTCACCGTTGTGACCACCGCAAAAAGATCTCTGTCGTTGTCAAAACATGGCATTTCCATTCCCACCCAAGTCCTGGGAGGGTCTGCCCAGTCGAACCAGAACCAACGTAGTCAAAGGGCAGCCACAAACTTCTCCAAATTGTGCACACCCAAACCCCCAAAAATCTTGGGTTTGATGACAAGGTCTCTCTTCTTGTTCAGTATGATCGGATGTATATAGTGTTGTAGGAAAAATGGATGTGTATGGCAGGATAGACAAAAGCAGACTGTTAGGTACTCCCTCCGTTTCAAAAATATTTGAAATTCTATATTTGTACCAAGTCAAACTTCTTTCGAAAGCAGACTGTTAGGTACTCCCTCCGTTTCAAAAATATTTGAAATTCTATATTTGTCCCAAGTCAAACTTCTTTCAATTTGACCAACTTTATACAAAAAAAAATTAAGTACATACAATCTAGTATGGAAGCTATAGCGAAAACAGTTCACCAGAATTTAAAAAAAAACATGTGGAGGAGAATTTTGATTTTTTTTTAGGAAATGGATTTCTTTAGGGAATTTTGAGGAAATGGATTGAGTTGAACTTTTTTTAGGGGAGATTGAGTTGAACTTAATGGAGAAGATCACAGTATCTACTGGGCCGAAATGTAATGTAACGAGCGGGCTTGAATACATAGGCCTAATATTTCTCTGGGCCCAACACGAGGCTTCTCTCCTCAACCCCCAAGTTGCGAGACAGGAGGGGGCGAAAGGCGGTGTGTGTTCTGTTCTGTGCCGAGGAGACGCCGGCGGCGACCACGATGGGCGGCGGCGAGGGCAAGTCGAGGAAGCGCCGCTCTTCCCCCTCCTCAGGTATCTGAAACTATCCAATTTCTTCTCGCTCCAGTCGACCCGGGCCCGTTCCTCTCTTTCCGCGCGGTGCTGATTCCTCTCCTTGCTCTGCCTGTCGATTCGCCGGCCCAGGGGAGGAAGAGGAGAGGGAGCGGAAGAAGAGGCGGGACAAGAAGGAGAGCAGGAGGAGCGGCCGAGACGGCAGGGGCAGCGACGAGGAGGAGGAGAGGCGGAGGAGGAAGAAGAAGCACGGCGACAGGGGCAAAGACAAAGGTAGGGTTCTTGTTTTGCTCCTAGGGCCTGCATTTTTCCTGTCCCTCTAATTGAGTGAAATCATCCTTAGCTTGGTTCCTTGTGCGGTTGTGCGATATCTTAAACTGAGCTAGAGAATGGGCAATACATTAAGTGACCTTCAATCTTCACAAGCTTCACCTCTGAGAAGGGAGGACTATACCCAACTTTAGACCATGATCAACTCGGCCTCTTCAGTGCTCCGTCTCCAGAGCCGGAAGTATTTTCACACCTGTATGATATCTAACAATTGCACCGATACTAGCAAAAGCACCAACCAAATCAAAACTAGCATCGACGTTTATATATTGATTGATTGTTGGCCCTCTGCTAAGGCAGGCAATGGTGGTGAATAGGGATTTCACCTTTTGGATTATTATAGGAAGAAGAGCGCCTAGGCAGCCCGAGGAAGCAACATAATTTTGTAGAGAAAGGGTTGAAGCTGAAATAGTCGGCTTGCCATCATCGAATAATATCATTCCTGAGACGCCATTCTCTCCATAGGAGGAATATAAAATCTTAGCTGTGAATCTGATTTTGACCATCCACTTGGGTAGGACATAAAGGAACCAATCCGGACCATTTGTCGCTAGATTTTCTTCAGGCTGTAGATTCCACATGGTCTTAAGTGCAAACTGAACAGCATGAGGTTTAGTGTGATCAGTAGCCGCAGGATAACCGTCCTCACCTGCCAAACCACAAATATTGCAAGTTGGGTTTGTATCCATATTCTTCTCCACCAATTTTCCTGCACAACAAGGCTTTCAGTAGTAAGTTTCCGAGCAAAAACATTGAGTTTTAGGGGGGCAAGGGCGCTCCAGATAGACTACCAGACTTCTGTATTTCCATCCAAATGACTACTGGCTTGACCCTGGGATTATGGAACGAGTGATGATGTAAACCAAGCTTATACACACCATGAACTGAGAAAATGCTACTCTTTTCATAGTGCCAAGCAAACAAATCCTCAGTCGTAACAGCAGGAATATAAATATTGAGGATGCCTTCGGCATCACACTTAATTATGCATATTTTTGTCTGATCTTCAGCATTTACCTATAGTGGTAGATTCAGTTGTACGTGGATGTATGATTTCTAACAATTGCATCGATACTAGCACAAGCACCAACCAAATCAATACTCGCATCAACTTTTACTTTTGCCCAACCAAATGAAGATGAGGTCCTGACCTCATCAAGTGATTGATTATTGACCCATTGCTCAGGCAAACAATGGCGGTGGATAGGAGATTTACCTTTCGGATTACTATAGGAAGGAGCGCTATGGCAGTCCAAGGAAGCGACGTAATTTCATAGAGAAAGAATAGAAGCCGAAATAGTCGGCTTACCATCACTGAAAATAATACATTCCTGAGATACCATGCTCTCCATAGGAGGAATAAATCTTAGCTGTGTATCTGATCATCTACTTGGGCAGGAGACAGAACAACCAATCCCGACCACTTTTCACAAAAAAATCTTTAGGCCGTAAGTTCCAAAATGTCTTAAGAACAAACCGAACAACATGAGGTTAGTGTGATCAATCATCGCATGATAACCGACCTGCCAAACCAAAAATATCATGAACTGTATTTGTATCTGTATTCTTCTCCACCAATTTCAATAGCAAGTTCTAGATTCATTTGTTTGATTGTGATCATTTAAGTATAGAGCTAGATTCCTTTGATGATGATGTGTACATGACTCTGTCTTTGTCTTGACAAAGAGGGATTCGAAGGAGAGGCGTTCCAAGGAGAAGGATAAGAGCAAGCGAAAAGACAAGGATGTTGTGAGTTCTCTAGATGGTTGTTTTCTCAGAGTATCAACCACAGTAGTTTGTGTATGATTAAATAGAGTTCTGAGCCTTTTAGCTCTTCAATAGCACTTTTCTTGAAGATGAATTGATGTAGAAGCTTGAGCTTTTGCAAAGGTCTGATAATAGGACGGACAATGGCCCTAAATAGAGCCACATGAAGTAGGGTTGAACAAATATGGCTGGGCAAAACCATTCGAAAAGACATCTAGTAGGTTTAAATAAGCTAATTATCTTCGAAGCAATGTATGCATGCAACTTACCTGGCAAAAATGTCCAAACCATGTTTTTAAGGCGTCTTTGAAGCATTCTTAGACCTGAACCTGCCCCTTTCCAGGCATATGTTTCAGGCTAAGATATTTCAAATTTCTACAATTGTCACAAGTAACATGCAAGTTTGCTGTATTGTCCTGGACAATGGGGTTCCATAGAAACTTGCCGGTGTGTTTTGCATCTTTAGGCTAAATAGCAGCACAAGATATATTATTGCCATTGAATTAAAACAGTGATTGAAATTTAGGTGCTTTAATTTTTTTAACAGTTATTGCCTTATTCCCTGCAATGTTTATTCCCGCAATGAAAGGGTTGTAGTATGTACATCCCTGAAGGGATCTCGAGGACCGTAGTTTGTGTACCTAGAGTATAATGTTAGTTGCATCTCATCTATCTCTTGAGTTTTAGTGTAATTCAGCAAAAAATTGTAGTGGGTTGTTAAGAAAGAAGCTGCACCAGATGTATTTGAATGCACCAGTTAGGTTAGGTACATGTCCTGATGCCTCTCATTTTCAGCCATCGCTAAAACAGGACATCAAAGAAATATCCAAGGACGACTACTTTGCAAAGAACAATGAGTTTGCAACCTGGTTGAAGGAAGAGAAGGGCAAATATTTCTCCGACCTTTCTTCAGAGTCTGCCCGTGATATCTTCCTCAAGTTTGTGAAGCAATGGAACAAGGGAAAGCTGCCATCACATTACTACGAGGGCATCACCATTGGGCCCCGATCAGCGCACAACTGGAACATCAAGAAGGCATGAGAAGGCTCGTCTTGTTCGTGGCTCGCAGTTCGGGTCCCTTGCGGTGGTTCGGTTTCTTGACGAAACTGCCATACCAAATGCTTGTACCACTTGTTCCATCTTTTAGATTTTCATAGGTTTCTGATCTAAACCTGTCGCTGTGTTTAGCATTGATGTTAGTTCTGTTGCTGACGTTTAATGAAAAAATTCTAGCAAATTTGTTGCTGTATCCTATATGCAAAAGAGCTGGTATTCATGTGATTAGCCCCACCACGACATTGTCCATTTTCTGATGATCTTTTATGCTGGGTTTTCTGCTAAAGTACCGATGATTTATCCCTCTTGATTCTTCATCACGTTCATATGTTGCAAGTTTAATAAGTGCCTGGATCATCAAATAAGAGTTTGACCCTTTAGCTGCGGCCGAATGTTTACACTAGCTGTTAGTGCTACCGACCGTTTTATGCTTGTTTGCCCAATCTGAACAGTTTATGGCTGTAACTGCAGAACTATAATGCCTTTTCCGTTGCTGCTTGTAAGATTTTCAAGACTTTGCCACTGTTATGAATTAATTTGCCGCCGCTCTGGCAGCATGTAAACTGAATCATCGCCGCTCTGGCAGCATGTAAACTGAATCATCACCGTTCTGGCAGCATGTAAACTGATACTGCGGTCCACAAATATAGAGCACACGGGCACCAGGAGAATATTATGTAGCATCATCAGTACGTATGCATTTAGAATTTGAATACCAACTAATCAGAACAGAGCTTAAATCAGAGATGAAACCATGGCAACAAGAAAAAGGAACTCGAGTGATATACAGATTTCGGATCTCGCAAGCCCTTGTAGGGTAGGCAAATGCCATTTATTCCATGTTTTGATCCTTTCTGGGCTGAGAAAGCAGGTGGTACAAAGTGCCCAACAGCACATGACAAACACCTATGAGTGTCGAAGCGCAGATTCTCTTTCAGAATCCACCATGCTTAATGCTTGCTGTCCTCTTCCTCGCAGAATTTTGAGTACTTCTTGTCGTCCATCAGTGAGTTGAGCTCACCTGCATCGCTGACCTTGACCTTGATGATCCAGCCGCCCTCATATGGATCTCCATTGACCTGTGTTATAAAAAAAACAGCCAGCATACAGGTCATACGACACTTCAATCCGCACCAACAGATTTCCTCGTCAAGTATCAGGCTAAGCTGAAACTTACCAATGCTGGTTTCTCTAGTAGTTCGTCATTCACTGCAATGACCTCTCCAGACACCGGCGAGTTGATGTCACTGGTTGCCTTCACACTTTCAACAGCACCAAAGTTTGTTCCCTGAGATACAGAAGCGCCAACTTCTGGCAGCTCCACATATACAACATCACCCAAATGGTCCTGAAAGCCAAAAAACAGCTCCATTATGGCATATAACATGCTGAAAGGCTGCTTATATGCATCGAGTGAAGCATCCAATGATCTAACATGTGACAGATCTAACACATGACATATGAACCTGGGCATGGTCTGTAATCCCAACGGTTGCGGAATCACCATCAACCTTTACCCATTCATGGGTTTCAGCATACTTCAGATCCTTCAGCACTGGAAAAGGGCAACACCAGAAAGATGCGTGTTAATAACGTGTACTACGCATTGAAATGGCATTAATCAGAAATGCAGTTTAACAATGTGCATATAAAGAGTTCCAAAGCCACTCCAACTAATGCAGTAGTTCCCTCATAACCACTACAATTTATTGTCCACCCTGAAATATGCACAGAACACAGATGCCTGCTAATGTAAAGAACTTTTTCTTGGGATCATTTCATCAGTTTCTCTGCTTCACACTATTGCATATGATTGTGCGTCAACAAACTCTTGTAGGTTGTAGGTCCCAATGCGGCCGCGTTTTCTCCAAATAGCTTTTGGGAGCCTATCGCAAAAACTTTTGACTAAATCATGGGGTCCCAAACCATTTTGCATGTATTTCATCAACTTTCACACTATATAGTTTTCAAATGCATCAAACAAACATCACATCATGCCATCAAAAGAAAAAACATCGCATCAACAAAAAAAAAACCGGGTTGCGCCTTCTGCGACGACATCAGCCTACCGACCGACCTACGGCTATCACTGAACCTCAAGAACCATCACCGTACTAAAATTGGCACTCCCTCTGCAAAGAAATATAAGATCGTTTAGATTAGTGATCTAAACGATCATATATTTCTTTGCAGAGGGAGTACACGACTACAAATCCAAGTCAGAAACGATGAACTTTCCCACCTAACCAAATCAGGCAAAAGCAGAGCGGCAGGAAAGATCCTTTTCGCAGAGAAGATGAAACCTGCCACCGGCAAAGGATCAAAATAACCAGAATAAACTCGGCGGCATTACACCCCATTCTGCAAACATCTCCGACGCGTGAACAGGGTCGCTGCCGAAATCACCAGTAAGAACTGGTAAAACGGATCGGCCAACGACAAATCCTACCGCCCAAATATTAGCGGGACGCGGAGGACGAAGATCGCGCCGTTCTAGCGCCAACGAACTGCGATCCAGGGACAGGCGCGGCGCGAGACACGAAACGCGCGCGTGAAACGGGCAGGCGGGCACGGGCGCAAAGGTGGCCGCGGGGAGGGAGAGGGGAAGGCGTGCTTACCGGTGGAGAAGGCCCTGGGGAAGGCGGAGATCTTGAGGTAGGAGGCGGCGCGGGAGGCCCAGAGCGATCTGGAGGCGGCCATGGCCATGATCACGCGACGGGGGAGGAGGAGGGGATCGCGCTCGCTCGGCGCCGCCTCCTCTGTTTCTCTCTCTCTCTCTCTCTCTCTCTCTCTCTCTCTCGCGCGCGCGCACCGAGCTCGCTCTTGGGGTTTGGTGGTGGTTTCTCTATTTCTCTCCTTTTGCGCAGAAGAAGTTGGTGGTGGTGCGGTCCGAGAGTTGCGAAAATGATTTTCGTGGTAGGTCTCTGGGCCCTCCTGGGCCTTTTCGTCCTTGCACTTCTGTTTGGAGAATGAACTGATTTGCCTCAATTTCTTGGATCACTAAAAAAATTAGTTCATCTATAAAAAACTTAATTTATTGGAATGTAGGGCAAGCTGAAATTTAAAAATTCACCAGTTCTCCGGAGGGATTTTAGAAGATGAAAACAGCAAAATCATTGGAATAAGTTTGTGCAAATATCATATCTAAGTATGGATTTCCATGGCGTTGAGGTGGTGAAGAAAGTCATGATAGCTGCGATCGGAGAATTAATGGCGGCGAGGAGTTTTGATTCCGTTGAAGAATAGCGACACAGGTTTTTTCCTGTGTGTCGAGTGTTGAGGACTTGCAGCGGCAGCCTCGGAAGGAGGGGGCATCAACATAGGTGGACAACAGTTTTGGGGTGCTTCTCGAGTACCGAGCCGTGATCTCTAGGATGAAAGCCCAAGGTCTTTGCCTTCGTTGGTTGTACCTGGCAATGGTCTTGCGAAGGCATTGTTTTTGGAATTTCGGGCTCTCTTCGGGGTGAAAACTCAAGATGCTTGATCGGGCGACGACAACGCTTATGCATTGTTTTCTTTTTGGAGACGTCGCTTTTGAAGAACCTCTTCTGCAGTACAGGTGTTGTCTTTGGTGGTGGTTAGAGTGTTGCTGTTGCGAGTGTTTCATTACTACGGGGTCTTTGTTTTTATATTTCTCTATTTTTATTTTATTTTTTTGGTTGTGTGCATTTTTTATGTCTTTTGATATCTTGCTGGTGCAGAGACTGGATGTAATTAGTGTCTTCGTGATATTAATATATTTTCTTTATAAAAAATCAACTCGTATGGGGTGAAAAACACATGACCATAACAGATGCTTACTTAGTGCCTAACCACTACAACTACTAGATGATTTCTCATATTACAGCAGGAGCTTACCATAAAGCCCTGTCCCCATGCGCAATGGGTTGCTTAATTAATTAATCCCTTCGTTCTACTCGTATCATGTAAGACTAAGACGTTTCTGCAAGTTATGTTGGATTGTAAAAACGTCTTATATTGTAGTCATATTATAGGACGTAGGAGTATTATTGATCGCTGATAATGCGTTCACCAAATCACTATGGAGCATTGGGGCCACGGAAAGATTCTTGCCACCACTCGACGTGCAATCACGGGGTGTGGGTTCTTAGCTTTTTCGGGATGGTTGATGGTCGATGGGTTTGGCTGCGGTTGGTTGGGGCATCGTTATGCGTAAACAATCACCAAGGCGCAACATGCTCTCTGACTCCGATCAGACTTTGCCATGGGCGGCGGTTGGTGGCCGATGCGGACAAACGAACAAACAGCGGCGCTGCAGGCAGCAGCAGCAGCAGTTGGTGAGGGGATCTTGGCCTCTCAACTCCTGATCAGGACGTACGGTGTTCGCAGCAAGGGATTCAAACTCTCCAGAAACATGAAATAGTTTGATTTCTTGCTTTTCAGGCGCTTGATTTGTTTGAACAGTAGAGGAAAAACATATACTCCCTCTGTCCCAGAATATAAAAACGTTTTGACATTATGCTAGTGTTAAAAACGTTCTTATATTTTGAGACGAAAGGAGTATATAGGAATGCGTGAAAAATATTTGTTGGCAGTATAGCATAATTCAATAAATGGAGCAAAGGAAGAGTAACATACATAATGTATCTCTGATCTTGGATTGAAAGGAAAGGAAAAACGTTGGAATTTTACAACCTATTTCGACCTCTTTTCTCCTTTTCGAATTCGCATGTACGAGGAATGGCATAAGTATCTTTTGTGGCATGTAGCAACCTAGTTTTACTTTTGATCGCCACATGTTCTGACAATGCTTATTAGGATTTTATGTTTTTATGCATTAAAAGAATCAAATAATCTTTCTGATCCTTTTTAGTTCGCATATAAGATTTGTCTGAAATCAAGCCTCGTAAAGTTTGACCAATTTCATAGAAAAAAATATCAACATTCATAATATGAAATCAATACCAGTTTATGCATCAGGACTTAAAGTTTCATATTGTATAACTTTAGTATGATAGATGTTAATATGTTTTTATATAAATATGGTTAAACTTTAAAAAGTTTTACTTCAGACAATTCTTATATGCAGAGTAAAAAAAAGGACCGGAGAGAGTATTTCGCTCTTGTCGTTAACACGTGTGATTTATAACTAGAGATTCGGTGTGTGGTGCGGGTTGGTGGCTGAAAACTTGGGCCCACTAAGTGGGTTCACCTACCGAGATAGCAACAACACACATACTCCTACGTTGTCATTAAAGTGCAGCATTATCTGAGACAGCAAATTCACATCATTTAGTAGTAGTGCAAGCCACTGTCACTAATTATGTTTCGTTAACTAAGTTTTCTCTTGCCAATAGGGGTGGACTAACGAGCAGTTCGGCTCGTTAAGCTCGTACTCGTTAAGCTCGTGCTCGTTAAGGCTCGGCTCGTTAAGCTCGTTAAGATTAACGAGCAGAAAACCCTGCTCGGCTCGGCTCGGCTCGTTTGAAACTCGTTAAGCTCGTGAGCGCTCGTTAACAGATTATAATGTTTTACGATATACAGGATGAATGTGTAGGTGTGATTTTCAAGACGAAATATGATGACTATAAAAAGAAATGCAGTAGTTTGTTGTCTCATAGGTCGATTAGATTGAATAGATGGGCTAAGGTGCTATAAAAGTTTGTCACGTAAGATGAAAATATGTGTTGTGTTGTTACTAACAAGCTTAACGAGATACTCGTGAAACTCGTTAGCTCGCTCGTTAAGCTCGTTAAGCTTAACGAGTTAAAATCAATGATTGACTCTGTTCATTAAGAAGCGAGCTACGAGTTTAACGAGCCGAACTATCGAGCGCTCATTAAGCTCGCGAGTTATGAGCTTTTGGTCCAGCCCTACTTGCCAAAGTACTCCTGGGCTAGTTCTTAAGAGCGTGTTTGGTTGCCTGCATATGGCTCAGCCTGGCCCGCGCGGGATGAAAGAGGCCTGTTTGGTTGCCTGAGTTTATTGTGCGGCCCGCATGGCACCAAACTTAAAGCACCTCCAGACCTGGCCCAGGGGAAATGACCGAATCGGTAGTAGCTCGCGAGCTTGGCTCGGACGACGCAGGGGAGGGCGATGTGCTTCTCTCCTCGTGCGACCAGGGAAAGGGCACGAGCTCACCCGCGTCGTCGAAAAATCGGCGGGAGGATTTCGGCTCACCTCCCGCCGAGTCCGCCCTATTTAGCCCTCTCCCTCACCGCCTCAACTCCCGCCACCATTCTCCCCCATTTCGAGCTTTCCTGCCGACACGCATCGGCACCGACGAGCAGGCAAGCGGCGCATCTTCATCGGCAGGCGGTCCACGGCGTCGGCGGTGATCTTCTACGACCGTTTTCCCCCTCGTCCTCGAGCTGCAGCCATGGCCTCTGTGAGTTCAATCCCCCTTTCTCTCTGTTCCTTCTAGCTAGATCTGAGTTGCAACTAGGGTTTGATGTAGATGCATGGTTGATTAGTGCTCTGATCTGTGAGCTCATATGGTTGATTGCTATGCCGCGGTTGTAATTTGTGGTGGGGTTAGATGTTCAAGCATGTGGTAGGCTAGATTAGTAGTAGAGTTTGAAGTTGAACCTTGTGCTTATGTTGATTCGTGCTTACATCTGTGACTTGTAGCTATTGGTGGTCCATTTGTAGCATGCTGATTGTTGTAGATGTATGTTCCTGCTCATAGATTGTCCGGTATGCTTAGTATGATAGCGATGAACCATGTGCTTAGTATGATAGTGATGAAGCATGTACTTGGTATGATAGTGATGAACCATGTACATGTATGCTCCTGCTTTCATGGATTGTCCGGTATGTTGTGTGCTATGCTTACTGTCAATACGTGCTACGATTGTAGGACATGACCACGCAGACGCAAGATTTTAGTCAGGCTCATGTCCTGTCCGACAACCAATTTGCTCCATCATTTGTCGAGGCCTCGCATCATATGCCCGAGATGGCACCTGATTCAGATGTGTTCGCGTCTGATTATGTCTATGTGCCAGTAGTGCTCGTTGAGCAAACTTCTGTTGCTGCTGTTGTTGCCGCTGCACTCAAGATAACAACAGCAAAGGCAAAGAAGGATGGTAGGTCGAACAACATGAAGTGGTAGTCATTCATGTCCACATTCGTGCTGAACAAAATGTGTGAGCTCATTTCTAGTGGAGTTAGGACTGACAAGGGCTTCAAGTAGGTGCACTTGAACACCGTTGCGAAGAAGGTGTTCGAGTTCTGTGGGCAGGAGGTATCCGCCACCCAGGTGTACAACCACCTGAGGAAGTGGAGAGGTTGATGGATTCAAGTATCCAAGCTGAGAGACCTTAGCGGCGCCTCATGGAATGAGAACACTTGCTCCATAGTTCTGGAGGCAGAGCACTATGTCGGTCATGTCGCGGTTAGCTCACATCCCTCTTTCTTTTTATATTGTCCACCATTGCCTACTCCTAATCGCAACTAACAACACTTGTGTTTCATTCTTAGGACCACCCAAGGGACGCTGAGTTCCTCAACACACCCATACAGAACTATAGCCAGATGCAGCACATCTTCTCCTTTGAGCCGGCAACTGGGAAGCATGCCATGGGCTCGGGGGAGCCTCTTGGTTCTTTCATGACAGACTTCCCTGGGACCTGGACATCGAGGTCCTTGATGGCCCTGACATGCCCTCCAGGAAGCCCTTCGACAAGCCATTTGACCCCGTCCATGATAGGAAGAGGAAGAGAGGAGGCCCGATGGAGGAGGAG